TCCGGTAGCCTACTGGTAAGAAACTGTACTGCAATCCTGAAGGCAAGTGGTTCAAATCCACCAGCTGCTCCAGCAAGTGAGTGGTTTTACAATTCCTCATAACCCTGCATATGACAGAAGGCAGTGCTCAGCAGGGTCTCCTTGACAGTAAGCTGAAAGGAAACAATTGCCACGTCTCTGTCCCTGGAGCAACTAGAACAGCCAAGCACTTAACTGCCTGTGCCACGAGGGCTTAATTATAGCTCACTGCTATCCTTCCAGTTGATTCCCACTCATTGAGACCCTGCAGCACACAGTAGCACTGCCCCGTGGGGGGTTCTAAGGCTGTACATCTTTATGGAAGCACTGCTTCTTAGGGTCTTGTGTAATCCTCACTGTTGTATTTGTGCCAGTTTTACAGATTGGACACAAAGAGGCTCCTGAGGAACACAGATAGGAAGTAGCTAAAATGCCCACCTCTTTCCACTCTGCCACTCTGTCTGCTGGCCTCTGGTTCTTATGAACACCAATTTTGTCTGGGACTCCCCACAGCACCCTAGTTTAAGGTTATTTGGCTTCAGAGATATTCAGATGCCAGCTTTAGGCTGTATTCTTTGGGGGAGAACTTTTAAAATCTCATCTTGCTCTGTTCAGAAATGTGCACACACAGATGGGTTTGGTGTCAATGAAGAAGACTCCTAGAGTCCATAATTTTCTTCAGACCCTTCCCATATGGTCAAATAACCAGGCTTGGTTTAGAGGTTGCTCTTTGGCAAAGCTCAGTTCTGGATTTTGCTTCATCTGTCCGCCTCACTGGCCCTTCACTCAGGCCTTGACCTTGAACCTAATCTTAAACCAACCTGACCGCCAACACCTGGGCCAGGTCAGATCTGTGTCTAGGATGTGTGGCCAGGGACCTGCAGAGGAGTGCGTGTGTGAGGCTGGATAATGGAGTGACAACTTGGCACCAGGTGCCTCCCTCTCCTTGTGACCTTGGCAGGTTTCCTTGTCCCAAGGGTCTCAATGTCCTTGTCTGGAAAGGGAGTGAGTTGAGTCAGACTAGCTCCCAGGTCCTGTGAGTTAGGCTGAACAGGCTGGGCTGAGCCAGAACCACACTTACTGGCTGTGTACTGTCCCCAAGGTGGCTGGTTCTGAGCCTGTGACACTGAGGGGCAGAGTGGAGGGCGTCTAGTGTGTGCAGGAGCCAGTACAAGATGTTCTGAGGGGTCCCAGATAGTTGTTAATTTGTTGTTGTTAGGTGCTGTCAAGTCACTTGTGACTCATAATGACCCTTTGTAGAAACAATCCTAAACCCTGTTCTATCCTGTACCAATCTTATTGTCTCTGACCTACCACCATTATCCTGGTCACTGAATCTATCCATCTCATTGAGGGTCTTTCTCTTGTGCTATCCCTCCACCCTCCCAAGCATGACATCCCTCTCCAAGGACTGGTTCCTCCTTGCAACATGTCAAAAGTATGTCAGACCAAGCTTAAGAATCCTTGCCTCAAGATTCTGAGGCTTCGTCTGACATACTTTGAGCATGTTGCAAGGAGGGACCAGTCCTTGGAGAGGGATCTCATGCCTGAAAGGGTGGAGGGACAGAGAAAGAACAGAAGGCCCTTGGAGGAGATGGATTGATTTAGTGAATGGGATAATGAGGGTAGGTGTGTCAGAGACAATAATGTTGGCACAGGATAAAGCAGGTTTCAGGGCTATTGTACATAGGGTCGCTATGAGTCACAAGTGACTCAAAAACACATAACATCAACAACAACAATCTTTACAGATGCAGACTGCCACATCTTTCTACCATGGGGTATTCTAATTGCTGACCTTTCAGTTAGGGGCAAGACACTTAACCACTGGACCACTAGAGCTCATTTCTGGGAAAAGTACCCCTAAATAAAAGACCTATAGTCTTCCTTCCATCTTCCTCTAGACGTAAATTCTTAGAAGATAGCACCTACTCTATTTTTTAAATTAAGGCTTATGGTACAATATGAATGTTTGTTGTTGTTGTTATGCGCCGTCGAGTCGCTTGCGACTCATAGAGACCCTATGTACAGCAGCCCTAAACTCTGCTCTGTCCTGTGCCAATCGCACAGTCTCCGACACTCCCATCCCGATTATCCCAGTCACTGAATCAATCCACCTCATAGAGGACCTTCCCCTCCTCCGCTGTCCCTCCACCCTACCAAGCATGATGTCCCTCTCCAAGGACCTGTCCCTCCTTGCAACATGTCCAAAGTATGTTAGATGGAGCTTTAGAATCCTTGCCTCCAAGGAGCAGCCCGGTTTGACCCTTTCCAGGATGAATCTGTTTTCCTAGCAGTCCATGGTACCCTCAATACACTTCTCCAGCACCACAGCTCAAAGGCATCAATTCTCCTTGTGTCCTTTCTAGTTATTGTCCAACTCTCTGATGCATAACAGGTGATAACAAAAACCATGGCCTGTATCAGATGCACCTTAGTCTCCAAAGAGACACCGTTGCTCTTCAGTACTTTGGAGAGATCCCTAACAGCAGACACTCCCATGGCAATACGTCTTCTAATTTCCTGGCTACTGGTGCCAAGAGTGTTGACTGTGGAGCCAAGCAAACTGAAGCTGTGAACAATCTCAATCTCTTCACCATCCATCCTGATGCTGCCAATTGGCCCAATGGTGAGAATCTTTGTCTTCTTGACATTGAGCCTCAATCCATATTGGAGGCTGCAGTCCTTGACCCTCTGCAGCAAGTGCTTCAGGTCCTCCTCAATTTCAGCAAGCAGGATTGTATCATCTGCATATCGCAGATTGTTGATAGATCTTCCACCAATCTTGACCCCACATTTCTCCTCATAGAGCCCAGCCTCCCAGATAATCTGTTCTGCATACAGGTTGAAAAGGTATGGAGACAGGACACATCCCTGGCATACACCCTTCCCAATTTTGAACCATGCAGTGTTTCCTTGCTCTGTTCTGACGACTGCTTCTTGGTCCAAGTATAGGTTTCTCATTAGCACAATCAAGTGTTCTGGTATTCCCATTCTTCTCAGAGTCAGCCACAGTTTGTTATGATCCACATAGTCAAATACCTTTGCATAGTCAATGAAACACAGATATACATTCCTCTGGTATTCCCTGCTTTCAGCTAAGATCCATCTAACGTTAGCTACAATATCCCTAGTACCACAACCCCTTCTAAACCCAGCCTGGACTTCTGGCAGTTCTCTGCTGATGTGTTGTAATGTTTAATAAAAATATGACATGGTGATAGATTCTGAGGTCCTCTTTAATTCATGAACATTTTATGAGATAGTGAATGACCATTTAAAAATATATGTTAATGAAAATTCTTTTTAAAAACATAAAAAATAAAAAGAATCCTTGCCTCCATGGAGCAGCCTGGTTTCACCTTCTCTAGGATGAATTTGTTCTCCTAGCAGTCCATAGTATATTCAGTACTTTTCTCCAGCACCACAGCTCAAAGGCATCAATTCTCCTTCTATCATCCCTAGTCATTGTCCAGTTCTGTGATGCATAGCAAGTAGTTGCAAAGACCATGATCTGTATCAGGCACACCTTAGTCTTCAGACTGACATTATTGCTCTTCAGTACTTTAGAAAGATTTCTGACAGCAGACTTTCCCAGTGCAATTCATCTTTTAATTTCCTGGTTGCTGTTACCAAGAGTGTTGATTGTGGAGCCAAGCAAATGGAAGCTGTTAACAATCTCAATATCTTTACCATCTATCAAGATACTGCCAATTGGCCCAGTAGTGAGAATCTTTGTTTTCTTGATGTTGAGCTTCAATTCATATCTAAGGCTATAGTCCTTGACCTTCTGCAACAAATACTTCAGGTCCTCCTCAGTTTCAGCAAACAAGGTTGTGTTATCTGTATAATGCAGATTGTTGATGAGCTTTCCTCCAATTCTGAAGCCACATTTCTCCTCATAGAGCCCAGCCTCCTAGATAATCTGTTCTGTATATAGATTGAAAAGGTCTGGAGATAGTACACATCCCTGGTGTAGACCCTTCCCAGTTCTGAACCATGCAATGTTTCCTTGCTCTGCTCTGACAACTACCTCCTGATCCAAGTATAGGTGTTGCATAAGCATGATCAAGTGCTCTGGGATTCCCGTTTTTCTCAGACTCAGCCATAATTTGTTATGATTCACAACAAATGCCATTGCACAGTCAATGAAACACAGGCATCCTTCTGGTACTCTCTGCTTTCAGCCAAGATCCATGCAACATTAGCTAGCATATCCTTAGTACCACGGCCTCTTCTAAACCCAGCCTGCACTTCTGGCAGTTCTCTGTTGATGTGCTCCAGTTGTTTTTGTATAGTTTTCAGCAGAATCTTGCTTGCATGTGATATTAATGATATTGTTAGATAATTTCCGCTGCAGTCTCTCAGGTCACCTTTCTTTGGGATGAGAACAAATACAGATCTCTTCCAGTCAGTTGGGCAAGTGGTTGTCCTCCAGATTTCTTGGCACAACTTGGTGAGCACATCCAGAGCAGTGTCTGTTTGTGGAAATAAGTCAGTATGCCATCAGTTCCTGGGGTCTTGTTTTTTGCAACTCTTTTTTGAGCAGCTTGAACTTTTCCCTTCATCATCACAGGCTTTTGCTCATACATTGTTTCACGAAATTCTTCTGTGTCCAATTCCTTTTGGTACAAATACTCTGTATACTCTTTCCATCTTCTTTTAATGCTTCCTGTATCATTTAATATTCTGCCCAAAGCATCCTTAAGTATTGCAACTCGCAGCTTGAATTTGTTCCTCCGTTCCTTCAGCTTAAGAAATGCTGATCCTGTTTGGCCCCTTTGATTTTCTGACTCCAGCTCTTTGCACATTTCATTAAAATATTTTGTCTCCAGCGCTGCCCTTTGAAATCTTCTGTTCAGCTCTTTAAAAAATTTTTTAAAAAAAATCTGATGTAGGCACTTGGAGTAAGAAAGACGAGTGAGGGGGAGGAGGAAAGTGTGGTCTGGAGGCAGTGACCCCACCCAGGAAATGTGACTAACCCAGCGGCTGCGAGTTTGAGCAGACGCCGTGCAGACGTGCTTCCCGGAGGCTGGTGAGTGTGGAACAAGGCCAGGCTGGCTTTCGCCGGTCCAGGCTCAGCCCAGACACCTTCCCTGGCCTGAGCGCCAGCCGCTCCTTGACTGGCCTGCGACAGGCTGAGGCCGAAGTGGGGGCTCAGGGCCGAGTGCAGCAGCTGTCCCCCTTGAGGGGCCCGTGAGGAGTGAGCTGAGCTTCCCCTCACCGCGGCATCGAGCACGCTGCTCTCCCCATCAGCACTTGCCCGGGGAGCCCAGGGTGGAGAAGCCCTGGAGAAGTTAGAGGCTAGAATGGGCCAAGCTGGGCGGCAGACGCTTAAAAAGCAGAAATAGGAGGAAGAAGAACTGTTGAAAGGTGAAAGTGGGAGGATGGCAGAGGGAATGGTGGCCCCCGGGGAGGCGGCTAGCTGAGACTGTAAATGGCAGGTAGGCGCTGGCTGTCTGAATCTGAAAGAAGAGACCACCGCCTCAGCAGGGATTTCTGTGGCACTCACTGGCTGGAGAGGTTCAGGGCTGGCGGGGGTTGGATCTCGCCTTCTGATTCCAACATGCCACCGGAAAGGACCGATTTTTCCATTTCCAAAGGTCCCAGCTCAGGCCTGGAGGCTCTAGTTTCTACATGCGCCTTCACCCCTTCTTGGAGAGAGATGTGGGCACTCTCATTCCATATCTAGGGGCAACATGGCCCTGTTGGGGGTCCATGGAGGGTAGAGATACCAGTGGCTCCCAGGCTTTCTCTTTCTGGCGTCATGCTTAAAGGCAGACATACCTGGAGCACACCCTTTCCCTGGGTGCCCCCTGCCCCTTCCCACCCCACCCTGCCCATGTGCCTTTGCACCCTTTGCCCCTAAGTGCAGGGTAGGAGTGTGGGACAGCCAGGAGGACATGCATTTCCTCCTCTTCCTAGCCCCACAGCAGCTGGATTGGATTCTGACCCTTGGTTTTGTCTGACCCTTGCTTTGTGCCTCGGGGCCACCAGTGCAGGTCCCAGCCTGCTGCAGTCCTATGCTCTCTCTCAGGTGCCACCTGAGGGAATCTACCTGGAACCCTGCAAGGGCTTTATTCAGATACGTTCTATGAGCACTCAGAGTGTCAGCACAATATAAAGAGCCACCGAATGTGGAGGTTCAAACTACAGTCTTTGGGCAAAAGATCCTGCTGGTCTACAGGGGAGAGGAAAAGCTTTAACAGAGGTGTAGAAGAGGCTCCATGCAAGGTGATGAGTTCCCCATCCTGAGAGGTGTTCAAAGAAAGAATGGTGAGGGGTGTTGTAGGAGGGATTCTTGTGCCCTTCTGTGCTGGTGTGTGTTGGGGAGCAAGACTGGATAAGTACTAAACCTACTGTCACCCAGTCAGTTCTTACCCATGGTGACCCCATGTGTTATGATGGAGAACTAAGCTCCATGGAGGTTTCTCAGCTATAGTCTTAACAGTAGCAAATTGCCAGGCCTTTCTTCTGGAGCCTCATAGGTGGGTTTGAACTCCCAACCTTTCAGTTACTAGCCAAGAGCAAACAGGGTCCTGAGAAATACTAACCTGTTACCAAACACACTGCCATCAAGTCGATTCTAACCACGGAAACTCTGCAGGACGGGGTAGAATCTCTCTCCCGTGGATTGGCAGTGGGTTCAACGGAATGCCTTGAGAGCATCCACTCAGCACTGAAGTCCCTTCTGCTGCCGTCTGTGATCCTGAGGCACCCCTCCACTAGGTGAGGGCATGATGTTCCTCATCCTTGGTGAGGTCTCTGCCCCCTACCTTCCTGCAATATGTCCAACTGCCAGCACAGATCATGCAGGAAATGCAGTCAACTTTGAGGGATTGCTTAAGGAGTCTAGAAGCACTGGGTGTTTCCCCTGCTTGAAAAGCATATAGTGGAACGGCAGCCTGGAGGCAGGGCTGCAGTGTGTTCCCAGGAGAGAGGAGACTGAGGTGGAGACTCCTTGGACAGCTGGAGCTTCCTCAAGATCCAGAGGGATGATAGGCACTGAGAAAGTTTGAAGAGCTGAGGCCCTGGAGGCTGGGATGGGGAGAAGAATGAAGCATGATGTCAGGGTGGACCCTTCTCCAGAGCTGGGCTTTATGCAGCCCCAGACATGAGGAAGCAGGCAGCCAACACCTGCTCATCAGAAGGGCTTGTGGTGCTTGGCCAGTGGTCTCATGTGAAAACCTGTGTCACAGACTGAATTGTATCCCCAAAGGACGTGTCAGCAGGGTGAGCACTATTCTGATTAACAGTTATGTAATGACATAATCCAGTAGTGTGGCAATAAGGCATTCATCCCATGATAGGATCTGATGAGATCCATCCGTTATGAGATTAGGGTCCCGTGATACACCTTTGTTCTGGTCACAGCCCCCGACCCACATAAGGGGAGTTTCCCTGGGGTTTCACCCATGTCCCCTTACGGGAGATGAAAGGAGAGAGAAGTGAGCAGAGAATCGGGATTTCAGTGCTCAAGAGGGCGAACAGCTTCTAGTGGTGTAACCCAGTTTGTTGCCCTGTTAGCCAAAAGGCTGTTCTGCTGTTTAAATCTACCAGTAGATCTGAGGGAGAAAGGTGGGCAATCTCCTCTTGTGAATTTACAGCCTCTGAAAACCCCCTCCAGCTTAGCTATGAGTCGGTTCTGACTTGAGAGTACCATCAAGAAAGCCAAGTGTGGACACAGGGATCCTGAGGTGGAATCTTCTGGAACCAGGAGCCACACACAGAGAAAACCAGCACTCTGAGTTCAGGCTTCTTGCCTCCTAAGTTGTGAGAGGATACCTTTCTGTTTGTTTAGTGGTGCTCTTGAGGTGTTTCTGCACTGGGTCACTAAGATGTCTGGTTTTGAGTTATGGCCCGAGTTCTCATTTCCTTTACACAGAACGGACAGTACGAAGGCTGGAGGATTGGCTCTCTCAGCCACCATGCTTGAGCTGGGGCAGGGGCTTCCCCACTGCAGACCTGAGTCAGAGGCCTGGCTGGCCGCAGGCGGGGCTAGCTGCAGGGATGTGGGCACAGCATGTGATCCTGTAGGGTGGAAGCACATCAGAGTTTCTCGCTTCTAACCTGCCCCCTCCCTACATTCCCCATCCTCTAGGGCAGTGCCAAAACCCGCCTTCTGCCCTGGTAGCTTGAGAACGGAAAAGGGAAGTAATAAGTCAGATGGTGTTTTTACCTCCTTGTTGTTTCTTGTTTCTGTTGCCATCAAGTTGACTTGGGCTCATATTGAATCCATGTGACAGGCAGACCTGTTCCATAGGGGTTCCGGGCTCTAATCCTCACAGGCGACTCGACTGCACATAACAACAATCACAATTTTCACAGTGCTCTCTGATGGTAGCTGTCAGTTAGCTCAGTGATTGCTGCCAACCCAAAGGCATGTGGTTTGAATCTATCAGCTGCTCTGTTGGAGAAAGATGGGGTCTCCTTCTGTTTGACTTACTGCCTCTGAAAACCCACTGGAAGGTTAGCTATTATGAGTTCCAACTTAAGATCATATATATATATATAGTAGACTAGTATTGATGTCAATGTAGTTAGTAGTTAGTGTAGGTGTTGCTTTGCAATTCCAAAAGCACGTGGTTTGAATTCACCAGCTGCTCGACTGGACAAAGATGGGTACTCTCCTCCTGTTTGACTTACTGCCTTTGAAAACCCTCCAGAGCATTAGCTATGGGTTACTTCTGACTTGACAGCACAAAACAACTATGTGTGTGTGTGTGTGTTGTTATTTATTTGTTATGTATATGTTATTTTATATATATTGTTGTTGTATACCGTAGAGTTAAAACCAACCCATAGCTGACCCTCCAAATGGTTTTCAGAGGCAGTTGATTGCATGAAGGAGACTGCACATTCTTCTCCTGCAGAGCGGCTGATGGCCTTGATCTGTGTGCCTTCAGGATTGCAGCTCAGCTTCTCTGGGAGAAACACCTGGAGACCTGCTTCCATGAAGGTTTCAGCCTAGAGAAAACCTCAGTTCTACTCTGTCACATAGGGCTGCTATGAGTCAAAACTGACTTGATGGTACCCTGCAATAGCCTACTAGCCCAGAGCCATCGAGTGGAGTCTACCTCCCATCACCCCTCCATCAGGGTGACGCGGTGGCTTTCTTGCTCTCATGCTCTGTGTCTCTGTGTGTGTGTGTGTGTGTGTGTGTGTGTGTGTGTGTGTGTGTGCGCGCGCTGATTGCTTTTCAAGTTTAATCTAACATTGCGTTCCTGGCCATCATATTTTATCCCTTTGTTTACTATATATTCTTGGTTTCCATTTGCTGAAGGTTTGGCCCCTTTCTTGTGTCTGCATTCACAAGAGGGAGCCCTGGTAGCCGAGTGGGTACACAGAGTTGCACTGTTAAACTGAAGGAGGCGCCTCTCTGGCGGTTTGAATCCACCACAGGGGAATGGTGGGGGAATCTCCTCCCATGTGATTTACAATCTTGGGAACCCAAGGCAGGGGGAGGTGAGCTCTGCCTTGGTTCTGACTTGATAGAACAAGAGCTGCTACTTGGTGCCATCAAGGTGACTGCGGCTCAGTGACTCTCTGAACAACAGTTCTGAACTCTGCCCCGCCTCATCCTCACCATCTCTCACATGCTGGAGCCCCTTACAGTCACGTGTCGATCCACCTGGTGCAGGGCCTTCCTCTCTTTCTCTGACCTTCCACCTTTCCAAGCATGATGTCTGACAATATGCCCCTAGCCTGTGAGACCAAGTGTCACCATCTGTGCCTCTAAGGAGAACCCTGGTTGCACTTCCTCCAAGGCAGACAGACTTGTTTCAATGAGATACATATAAATCTTACAGAAAGAGCTGTGTTGTCGGCCTGGGTCATGCCCAGGTTTGGGGATCTGAAGAAGGGGTGAACTTGTGAGAGGGCACAGCAGCCAGCAGCCTGATTCAGCTAGCCACTTGGTGGCTATGTGACCTTGGATCTAGACTCTCTGAGTGTCAGTTTCTTTATCTGCATAATGGAGTCAGTGACAATGATCACTCCCTCAGTTCCTGGAGAAGTGATAGATGACCACTATGAATGCGCTTAGCCACCTGGAAGGCCCTCTCAGGTCCTCCAGCACAAGGGGTGGCTGTCACTGTCATGACATTTGTAATAGTAATGCTGCTTCTGTCTTTCCAGATCCAGAAACATGTACACGCCCCTCCCCCAGAGGTAAGTTGTGCCTGTCTTCCTCCACTCCCACCACCTCACCTCCCGCTGCTCTCCTCATGCTCAGGCCCTAGGCCCTGTCCTCCTGGGCCCTGACCACTGCTAACTCTCTCTACAGTAGCTCCCCATTCCCGGCCTCTGTGCAGAACCCGGGCCTGCACATTTGGCGGGTGGAGAAGCTGAAGCCAGTGTCCGTGGCACCTGAGAACCATGGAATTTTCTTCTCGGGAGACTCCTACCTGGTGCTGCACAATGGCCCGGAGGAGCTCTCACACCTGCACCTGTGGATAGGTAAGGGCGCTGGGTGCTGGGAGCTGGGGGACCAGGTGCTGAGCACTGAGCACTGGGGGCCAGGTGCTGGTGTCCAGGTGCTGGAGGTTAGGTGCTGAGCATTGGTGTTTGGGCGCTGGAGGGCTGGGCAGTGAAGGCTGGACATTGCAGGCTGGGTCCTGGAGTCTAATGTCCAGAGACTGAGCGGTGAGGGCTGAGGTTCAGGGCTGAGTGGTGAGGGTCAGCCACTAGTCGATAGGCTGCACCGGGGCAGGGTTGAGGCTGCAGTGGGTCTCACGGACCCCTGCCACCTTCTTGTCCCCCACCTCCAGGCCAGCAGTCATCTCGGGATGAGCAAGGGGCCTGTGCAGTCCTGGCTGTGCACCTCAACACCCTGCTTGGGGAGCGGCCAGTGCAGCACCGTGAGGTGCAGGGCAATGAGTCCGACCTCTTCATGAGCTACTTCCCTCGGGGCCTCAAGTACCGGGTGAGGGCCCCGTCCCATCTGCCCACAGGCTTCCCTCGGGTCCACCCGCCTGCAGTGGGTCTCCTCCCTCCACCTCGCATCCTTCGGGGTCTCTCCTCACTCCCCCAGGTGGCTTGGGGTCCAGGAGCCCCCCTTCCTGTCCCTCAAGGTCCGCCCTTCTTCAGAAGGTCCCCCCCTTCACCTACTAGGTGAGGGCCCCATCCCGTGTGCCCAGGCTTCCCTGGTAGGGGCCCTCCTGCAGTGGCTCTCCCCCCCGCCTCCACTTGGCCCTGGTGGGATAGGGCCTGGGGACCACTCCCCTGAGTCACTCAGGAGTGGGCCCTCCTGCAGCGGGTCTCTGCCTGACCTCATTGGGATGGGGTCCAGTAGCCCACCTCTCCTGTCAGCCCACTGAGGCCAGCTGGCCTGTCTCACATGCAGGAAGGTGGCGTGGAGTCCGCGTTTCACAAGACTTCCCCAGGGGCCACTCCAGCTGCCATCAAGAAACTCTACCAGGTGAAGGGGAAGAAGAACATCCGGGCCACTGAGCGGGCGTTGAGCTGGGACAGCTTCAACACGGGGGACTGCTTCATCCTGGACCTGGGCCAGGTGAGCCTTCCGGTGCACCGGTCTTTAAAAGGAGGGGTGGCCACAGGCCAGAGAGAGGGGACGGGAGGCCAAGAAACCCCAAGTCCTTTTCAGGCTGGAGCCCTTCAGCCTTTAGGGAACCTTTCTGTGTTGGTAAGGACAGAAGTCGACTACCCTCTGACTTGCCATCCCTGTGCGTGGAGCTTTCTTCCTCTTCCTCCTCCTCCTCCTGGGAGCCTTTGTAGCTCAGAAATTAGCTGCTGGACAGACCGTTGGTGGACTTTCTGGTAATGCATTCAGTGGACTGGGATGGTGATGCTAGATAGAGAAGTCATTGTCCCCAAGGAACCCCCGGGTGTGGCAGCCAACGCCTGTCTGTCACTTGTCATGACCCATGAGAGGATGCCATGAGGGCTTTATGGGAGGCAGTGGCCATGAGCTGGGGGAGCGTGGGGTTATTGGTCCTCAAACCTGAGCCAGTTATCCTGGGAAGGTGCCCTTGGTGGAATGTCATTCCAGGCAAAAGGGACAGGGAGCCAAGGTGGTGAAGGGAAGGGCTTGGGCGTGGTGGGGGTCAGTATGGCCGATACTGGGGTGGGACAGGAGCTGTGGGACCAAAGACGAGCTGTGGGTCCCGAGGAGGCAGAAAGCTCGTCTGAGGAACCAAGTGAGTAAGTGAAGCTAAGTAAGGCTGCTTCCTGAAGACTTGAGGGCAGGGTAACCCAGGCGCTGTGTGGAAGTGGATCAGCAGCTTTGTGGTAGAGGCAGCAGGCAGCTCTTTTAATGGATTTAAGAGATGTATTCTCTCTGGCCGTGGGTATAGGTTAGGGCACAAGGCAGGGGCTCAACAAGGGACTTAACCCATTCATTCCTTCAACAAATGTTTACTTTGTGCTTCTGCATTCATTATGCAACAGCAAATAGTACAAAATAAAACAAAACCTCCAAGTCCTGGTTATGTTTACTTTCTAGTCAGGGGAAATAAATTAAATAGGATAAACAAAAGAAATGGCAATAAGTGATGTGGAGAAAAGGAAACATGAGAGACAGAGGGCTAGGAAGCCACTGGAAGAGAGTTACCACTGTTTTCAGACTCACTTCTGGGTCTCTTCTGCCACCTCGTGCAGTTGGCCTTAGTGGGCAGCTCTTTTCCTGCTCCACGCACCTTCTTCCCAGGTGGCCTCCCCCCATGTGGCCTTTCCCTACCATACCACCTTTCCCCCGCTTTCTACCCTGGTTCCCTCCTGCCCCTCGCTGTCTTCCCCCACATGCCCACCTTTCCCCCACACCACTGTCCTCCCTCCACACATCTGCTCTCCTTGCACACACCTTCCTAACCCCCCACATGCCAACCTCCCTCTTACACACCTTTTCACATCCTTACCTCTCCCCACATGATGTCCACGCCCCCCATGACAGCCTATACACATGCCATCCTCTTCCTTCTTCCACTCCAGCCCCTACACATGTACACTTCCCCTCCCCCCAACATGCCACTCCCCCACATGCCACCCCAGGAGCATCACAGGCAGCGGGCTGACCCAGCTTTCCCCTGTTCCCACAGACCATCCTCGCGTGGTGTGGCAGTAAGTCCAACATCCTGGAGCGCAACAAGGCACGGGACTTGGCCCTGGCCATCCGGGACAGTGAGCGGCAGGGCAAGGCCCAGGTGGAGATTGTCACGGACGGCGAGGAGCCCGCAGAGATGGTCCAGGTGGGGGGGCCGTGGGGGTGGGGGCTGGGAGCCCCTGCTGGAAGTGGCTAGGAGAGCTGGTGGTCATGGGGCCAGAGGGTGGCTGGTGGAAGGTGGCAGGGAGGGCCTGGGGCATTATGAGGGCTGTGGCTGCCTCACAGGTTGTCATGTTGATGTGGGACAAAGTGCCCTGGGACACACACAACCTTGGGTACAAGTGGCCTGGCTAGCATGGTGAGGCCTCTGCCAGCTGTCCTATGTAGCACGCTCTGCCTCCAGAGGCACAGGCCCCAGGCCTGCGGACTGAGGTCAGGTCAGGAGCTAAATGATCTTCAACCTGGCCACCCCATCCCTGCAGGTCCTGGGCCCCAAACCCCCTCTGAAGGAGGGCAACCCCGAGGAAGACCTCACTGCTGACCGGACGAATGCCCAGTCTGCAGCCCTGTATAAGGTGGGTATCTGCACAGAGTAGCCTGACTATATGGGGCCTACAGAAGGGTGGGCAGCAGGGGGAAGCAATGGAAGAGCCCATGGAATGGAGGGCAGCAGGGGGGGGTCCATGGAGGGGAGAGCAGCAGGGGGTCCATGGAGGGGAGAGCAGCAGGGGGTCCATGGAGGGGAGAGCAGCAGGGGGTCCATGGAGGGGAGAGCAGCAGGGGGCCCATGGAGGGGAGAGAAGCAGGGGGTCCATGGAATGGAGGGCAGCAGAGGGTCCATGGAGGAGAGGGCAGCAGGGGGTCCATGGAGGGGAGGGCAGTGGGGGAGCACACAGAGAGGAGAGCACGGAGGGGGGGTCCATGGAAAGGAGGGCAGTATGGGAGTCCATGCAGGGGAGACCACGATGTTGCCCAAGATGATGGGCAGGTGTAGGAACAGACTCGGCTGTGAGTGATTAGGGTTCAGGCAGAGGGCAGCTCTGGGCCCTGCTCGACAGCAATCCATTCTCAGTGAAGGGAGGTTTACAGTCAATGGGGAGCTTTCCTCCCTGCCCCCCTCCCCCTGCCATCATTTGTATTTATTTGTAATTTGAAACCCATCTACTTCTAAAATGGATTTTAGCCTGTGCTGCAGTGCTTTAGGATGTTGTGAGGCATGGGGCTTCCTCCCTGTCCCATTGGGTAGGGTAGGGGGAGGCTTGGGATGGTGACCTTGCACTGCCCTTTCCCAGGTCTCTGATGCCACTGGACAGATGAACCTGACCAAGGTGGCCGACTCGAGCCCATTTCCGCTGGAGCTGCTCATACCTGACGACTGCTTCGTGCTGGACAACGGACTCTGTGGCAAGATCTACATCTGGAAGGGTACGTGTGGCCCCTCCATGCCAGCTGAGACTCCATCAACTGCTGTGACTCCTGGCTCAGGGCCTTCCCTTCCTGTTCCCACCCACCTAAGGCTGGGGGCCCTGAAACATCAAGCCCCAGGAAGAGGCCAGAGCACACGGTTTGGGTGGGGCCTGAGGATTTCTATTCTCATCTCATTCTGATGGATCTGTGGCTGCTGGTCTAGGGACCACACTTTGAAAAACTTTTCAGGTTCCAGAAACCCCTGCTTCCAGTATTCTGCCTTTAGGTATGACAGAGTTGAATTTCAGATAAATTAACCGTAACTATGCAGTGTATGATGAACCTGAAGAACTTGTTTTTCCAAGAGATTTTATCAGGTGGAAAAGAATCATGGGTGTGTAGAAACCTGTTCTGCTTGTTGGACTTTTCAAGAACAGTGAAACCAAGTTCTGAGCGACACCTGGAGTGGCCCGTTACCATACAGTTGTATTTTCCTGAGCATGTATTACATCCCTCTGTAGATTATTCAGCCATGAAATCAAGAAATTTGATTGGTCTGTGGGGTCTTGGCAAATTCGCATGTAACCAGTAACAACTGTGGGACCAAGTGAGACCAAGAGGAATTCTGAGCTGGATGAGGGAGTGGTGTTTTGTTAGCACTGCTGATGTTGTCAGGGGAGTGAATTTCAACTCAAAGCAACTTCATGTGACAGGAAAACTGCCCCATACGGTCTCCTAGCCTGTAATCTTTATGGGAGCACAATGTCAGGTCTTTCTTTCTCCTCCTGAGCTACTGCATAAGGCTGAACCACCAACCTTGGGGTCAGCAGTTGAGTACTCAGCCATTACACTACCAGGGCACCTTAGTCAGCATGACAGGCCCCTAGACACAGCATAAATATAGATGAAAGGAAGGGCCTGGAGCGGCAAGCCACGTTCAAAGAGTGGGAGATGGGAGACAGAGACTCCTGCTACTGGGTTTCTTTTCCTCAGAAAGGAGGCTTTTGTCAGGAAACCACTGAAGGGCACTCCCCCGCTGCAGGACAGTCTAACCCCACACAAGACAAACTGTTCTGGAGAGAGAAACAAGGGGAGGGAACAGACAGCGCCTCTAGTGGGCACAGGAACCACTGCTCCCTTCAGAGAGGAAGGATACAGCCTACTACTCAGACACATCTTAGTTATCTGATTATTTTTTTCCTAGCCAGCCTGGAAAGCCAATAAATTCACAAGTTAGTTTTCATGGATAAAAATCTGGTTTTTAGAGATAGACAATCTGCAGAAGAGACTGGATTTCTGTGTGGATGTGGCTGGTGTGTTTTTAGTCAGCAGGATCATGGAGACTTCATTTTACTTGACCCCACAGTCAACACCCTGGGTTGTAATGAGTCGTAGCCAACTTGACAGCCCTGAACAACACTTGGTCAGTGTAGACTCTGGCACTATGAAGTTGGTTCCCTCTGCTCTGAGCCTGCTGCCTGGGGGCCTCTCTCGGGGTATCCCTGAGTGCTGGCTGCAGCTACAGGTCTTGATGATCAGAGGAAGACAAAGGTGAAGAGACCAGTTTTCATCTAGCCTGGAGCCACCAAGTTGGGAGAAGTCGCAAGGGCGGATCTCATACCTTTACAGAACTAACTCCTCAGCATTTGTGGGCATATCCCTGGTCTATTTAATTGTTTAAAATTATTCCAACTTTTACAAGTTGCTTGCTATTCTCTTCACCCTTAAGTTTACTCAAGAAAATTGGATGGGGGAGTTGGAAGAAAACTCTTCCCTTTTAAATGTCTCCTTCTGGTGAACCAGGGAGAAAAGCCAACGAGAAGGAGCGACAGGCAGCCCTGCAGGTGGCAGAGGGCTTCATCTCCCGCATGAAGTACGCCCCAAACACTCAGGTGAGGAGACAGTCTGACTCCTGGCCTCCACCTCCTCCTCCCCAGGCCAGCGAGGAAGGGCAGGGACACCCCAACTCAAGAGAGCCCAGCTCAATCCTTCAAGATGTAGCACAGTTGTTTTCTAAGAATATGCTGGGCAGCAGGTGCTAGGAATGCAGACAGCGGGGTGGGCCTCTGCTCAGCCTCCTTCTCTGGGTCTCGTCCCTGGCTGGTCCCACCCCTTTCAGACCCAGCAGGATGGCTCAAGCTCCTGTCACAAGCAGTGAGAAGGCGCACCTATAATGGGTGGCAGGTCTCAGACTGAGCACCAAGTTTCTGAGGCAGTCTGCTGTCTCGCCATGTCTCTGTAATGTGGTTTCTATTTCTTGGCTTATGTAGTGGAGTGGCCTGTGCAGGACTTGGGGTGAGCACAGACCCAATGTCCAAAACCTGTGGGACCCTCCCTGTCCTCCCCAAAGAGGCTCTGGTGGCAACTCTATGAGCCAGTCCTCTCTGCCGCTGTCCCCGCAGGTGGAGATTCTGCCCCAGGGCCGCGAGAGCCCCATCTTCAAGCAGTTCTTCAAGGACTGGAAATGAAGGCCGTCATCTCCCTGCCGCATCCTCCTGCCTGGGTGACTCCTGCCGGCCTGTTGGCCCCTCCCGTGCACTGTCAGTGTGGGTGCGATCCCTGTGGATGTTCAATAAAGGAAGCACATGCTTTCCCTGGCCTTCTGCCTGTCTGCAAATCCTATCTTCTCACCACGGCCCCCACCACATTGTACAGTGTCATACCAGACCCATTTCTCTCAGTGATCTGAGTCATGGTCATCCCTCATGGTACGGGTGCAGCTGCTGCATGAGGTTTGCTTGGCTGTGATAGTCACAGATGGTCCCCGGATGGTCGGCTGTGAGCCTTTCCGTTAGTGGCTCAGCACACACCGTGTGCACCACGCAGGGGCCGAGCTGCACTGTGTAGTCTGGTTGCTTCTTACACTGCCTGCTTACCCAGCCTGTGCTGTGTAGACCACACAGGGGCCTGGCTGCACTCCTAGAACTGGCTGCTTCTCGTGCTGCCTGTTCACCCAGCCTGTGCCTGTACCAAGGGCTAAGAAGCACGCGGATGACATCCACACAGCTCTGGAGGCTCTGAGCCACTTCTGCAGCTGGATCTGGCTTTGCAGGACTAGGGCGGAGGGACCGGGTGTCCCAGGCAGGCACTGATAAGAAGGCAAGAGGGAGAGAGCACAGCTGCAGGTCCCAGGGTTACTGTCACCTGGGTCCTGTCTTAAATTACCAGTTGGGAGAACGCTGTAGTGACAGGCTTGGGAGGCATATCCATTTAGGCTGGTATTTTCTGGGATGCTTCCCTAAACCACTGTGAGCAGATTCCAGATGCCCTGTGCTCGGCACTGCTGCCCTGTACTCTGGCTTGTCCCTTCATGCCACACTGTCTGTTGTCTGGGTGACAAGCTGAGGGTCACTTAGGGGCAGAGGGAAGAACACTGGCCTGGGAGTGAGGAGTCCAGGCTCTGGTTCTAACGCTGTCTCTGCTTCCTTTTGGACAAGGTCCTTTTCCTGGTCCTCAAGTTTATCATCTTGTAGGGAGCTCTGGTGGCCTAATGACAAGAAGGTGTGCTGTAATCCCGAAGGCATGTGGTTCAAGGCCACCAGCTGCTGCGTGGGAGAAGGAGGGTCAATCTCCCGTGTGATTAACTGCTTCTTGAAAACTTGCCAGAGGGTCAGCTATCGGTTAGTTCTAACTTGATGGTACACAACAACAACAACAACAACAACAACATGGTGAATATATTATGTGGCTGGTGGCTGGAACAGTAGAGAGAATAAGAATACCCCAGCTGCTGTAGAGTTAGCTCCAGCTGCTGGCAGCCCCAGGGGTGTCAGAAATGACTGCATCTACAGAGTTCTGCAGGGCTGAGTTTTTGGAAGTAGATCCCAGGCCTCTTTTTTTTTAAAAAAAATTTATTATTTTGTGTGTGAGTGTACCGTCAAATAGGATCTGACAGGTACAGGAAGAGATTGCCCCTCCTTCTCCAGCAGAGCATCTGGTGGATTTGAACCATGTACCTCTGGAATTGCAGTGCAGCTGCTTGCCACTAGGCCACCAGAGTTCCCCTCAAAGCCTCTCTTTTGAGATGCATCTAGGAGATTCAAACCTTCAACCTTTAGATTAGGAGCCTGAGTGTGTTAACTATTTATACCATCCAGGGACTCCTCTGACTGACTCTAGCTCCTCGCACATTTCATTGTAGTATTTCGTTTTGTCATTCCGAGCTGCCTTTTGGAATCTTCTGTTCAGCTCTTTAGTATCTTGAATTCTTCCTTGCGCTTTGGCTTCTCTACGCTCCAGTGCAATCTTCAGAGT